TTCTCTGGCTTAGGGATTAAGGTCATGCTGGCTTCATAGAAGGAATTTGGAAGGATTTCCTTTTTTTCCATTGTTCTGAATAGTTTGAGAAGAATTGGAATTAATTCTTTTTTCAATGTCTGGTATATTTAGCAGTGAATCCATCCGGTCCTGGGCTTTTCTTTGTTCGAAGGGCCTTTATTACTGTTTCAATTTCTGTCTCAGTTATGGGTCTGTTTATGTTTTCTTTGTCTTCCTGGTTCAATTTAGGTAGATGGCATGTGTCCAAGAATCTATCCATTTCTGATAGATTTCCCTGTTTGCTGGCATTAAACTCTTTGTAGTAATTTCTGATGATTCTTTTTATTTCTGTGGTGTCTGTTACATTTCCTTTTTTATCTCTGATTTTATTGATTTGGGTTTTTCTCTCCTTTTTTAATTAGTTGTGTGTCAATTTTGTTTATTTTTTCAAAAAACCAGCTCCTCGTTTGGCTGACTTTTTGTAATTTTTTTTCTTTTTTCTTTTTTTGTATATAAGACTGTTGATTTCTTCTCTGATTTTAATCATTTCTCTTCTCCTACTAGTTTTGGGTCTGGTTTGCTGCAGTTTTTGTAGATCCTTGAGATGCGTTGAAAGCTCATTTATAATAGCTACATCTTCCTGTTGAATTGATCCCTTAATCATTGTATAGTGCCCCTCTTTGTCTCTCTTAATAGTTTTTGTGTTAAAGTTTATTTCGTCTGATATTAAGATGGCTACACCAGCTCTTTTTTCATTTCTGTTGGCATGGTATATCTTTTTCCAGACTTTCACTTTCAGTCTGCATGCATCTTTATTGGAGAGATGTGTTTCTTGTAAGCAGCAGATAGATGGGTTTTGTTCCTTAATCCACTCAACCAGTCTGTGTCTTTTAACTGGAGAGTTGAGGCCATTAACATTCAATGTGACTGTTGATAAGTAGTAACTTTGCCCTGACATTTTCCCAAAGATATTTCTAATATATGCTTTGAACTTCCTGTTATCTTTTACTGGGAGGTTTTCTTTCTTTACCTTCTTTCATATTGATGGCTGTGTTTCTGTGTGTAACACATCTTTAAGCATCTTTTGCATGGCTGGATGAGTGGTGACAAATTCTTTCAATTTCTGTTTGCTATGAAATGTCTCTACATCACCTTCATTCACAAATGATAGCTTTGCAGGATATAATATTCTGGGCTGGCAGTTTTTTTCTCTTAGTACCTGGGCTATATCTCGCCATTCCCTCCAAGCCTGTAGGGTTTCTGATGTGAAGTCTGCTGTGAGTCTAATTGGAGATCCTCTGAGAGTAATCTAACATTTCTCTCTTGCACATTTTAGAATCTTTTCATTATGTTTCACGCTAGTGAGTTTGATTACAATGTGTCGTGGTGAGGATTTCTTTTCGTCATGTTTATTATGGGTTCTATGAGCTTCCTGTACTTGGATGTCTCTGTCCTTCTCCAAGCTGGGAAGTTTTCTGCTAGTATCTCACTAAAAAGGGCCTTCTAATCCTTTCTCTCTCTCCATGCCTTCAGGAACTCCTGGAACCTGAATGTTGGTTTTTTTAATAGTATCCTGTAGATTTCCAACAATATTTTTTGGATTTCTAATTTCCTCTTCATTTCTTTGCTTTGACTCTATACTTTCCTGTGCTCTGTCTTCTAAGTCTGATATTCTCTCTTCTGCTTCACTGATTCTGTTTTTAAGGCTCTCAAATGCATTTGTCATTTGATGTTTTGAATTCTTCATTTCATTTTGATTTCTGTTCACTATCACAATTTCATGTTCTACTAGTTGCTTCATTTCCTTTTGATTTCTCCTTAAGATTTCATTTTCATGAGAGAGATTTTCTACCCTGTCCAGTAAGGATTTCTGTAGTTCAAGAATTTGTTTTTGAGAACTTCTAAGTGTTCTTATCATAAATTTTTTGATATCCATTTCTTACATTTCTTCTATCTCATCTACTTTATAATCTTGAATTGGGGTGTCTTATTCATTTAGGGGCATCATAATGTCTTCCTTGTTCTTGTTTTCTCAGTTTCTGCATTTGTTGTTTGGCATTGTGGAGATATTCTTTTTTTTTTTTTTTTTTGATGTGGTGGTTTTTCTCATTATACTATCATTCGAATAAGTGGACTGTCTGCTTTTGATGGATCCTTAGAGGCTTGTGATGTGTGTGGCCAGAGAGCTCTGTTTGGTTCTTCAGGGTTAAGGGTGACACACCCAAGTAAGGCATGGTAAATTTTCTCTCTTTCTCTCTCTCTTTCTCTCTTTTTTTTTTTTTTTTTTGATTCAGAAGGGATTAATTTTGCACAGCTGAGCAGAATTGATTGCAGTCAATGTCTGAGCTCTGGCCCCTGTGGGTATTATATTCATCTACTCTACCCCAAGGACCACACAAAGGATTTGTGCAGTCCTCAGTGTAAGCTCAGTTTCCCCTGCATTCTCCCACTGTGTTGCTAAGGTTACCAAGTTTGCAGCATCTCCTGAGAGTACTCACTCTCAGGCACTCCATGAATTCTCTCACACACCCTCAGTTTTTTTTTTTTTTCACAGTCACAGTTCATAAGCTCCACACATTCACTAGGTCCTAACCTCCTTTTATTTCTCCCCACCAGAGTCAGGTTTTTTTGCTTAGCTGAGGGCGGGCTCAGCCCTGAGGTGGTGCAGCTTTTATGTATGTCCAAAATGGTTCCTGCTCTTTGTCTCGCTTGCCTTTGTAAGGTGAGTGGAGAGAGAGAATCGTGTCCATACAGGTCCCTTTTATTTTATTTTATTTTATTTTATTTTATTTTATTTATTTTATTTTATTTTATTTTTTTCTCTCTTCCAGTTATCCTGTTGGACTTTCCCCCACAGGGCTTCAAACTTCATTCCCTCTAGGCTCTTTCTGCCACTTCCCCACCTTTGTCTTGGGCTACTGAGGTTTTGCTTCACCTCCCTTTCCAGCAGCTGGGGTCCCGATCTGTGGGCACCCCTGCCCTCCATGTAGCTCCACCATGTCCCACTAGTTCCAGAAGAGTTTCCTCTGCAGTTTTTTTTTTCCTAACTCTTCCCTGAAACTACATTATCTCCACTTTTATTAAACTATCTTTTCTTGGACTATCAGTGTGCTCCCTCCCTATTCCACCATCTTGGAGGACTCCTGCCCCTTGTGTTCTAATAGTCCTTCCTGGTAGCTCAAGGAAGTTTTGCCAGGATCTCTGTAAAAAAGATGAAATAAATTGTTTTTCAGGAGAAAAGTGCTTTGAGTAGTGTCACATGATTTCTAAATACCCGGCACCCTAACTTCTGTCCAATGTTCTCTATCTTGCCACACTTAATTAAAAAACATTTATTTTTCAGATCCATTTCAGAAATTGTCACCAGTTCAAATAGTACTGCTTTAGAAAACTTTCATGAGTGTGTCTTCTCTTTTGCTACTAATGCAATGTTTGGAGTGTATGACTTCAAAAAGCATATTGTGAGGTTGGTGCTGTGGCACAGCGGGTTAATGACCTGGCCTGAAGTGCCCACATCCCATATTGGCACGGGTTCAAGACTCAGCTGCTCCACTTCTGATCCAGCTCTGTGCTATGGCCTGGGAAAGCAGTAGAAGATGGTCCAAGTCCTTGGGTCCCTGCACCCATGTGGGAGACCTGGAAGAAGCTCCTAGGTCCTGGCTTCAGTTGGTGCAGCTCCAGCCATTGCAGCCATTTGCAGAGTGAGCCATTGGATCGAAGACCTCCCTCTCTCTCTCTCGCTCTCACTCTCGCTCTCTCTTGCTCTGCCTCTCCTCTCTCTGTGTAACTTTGACTTCTAAATAAATAAATCTTTAAGAAAAACAAAAAGCATATCATAAAAATTTTCCCCCTTTCAGTCATTCTTCTTGAACAATATGCAGTATACATGCAGCTACAGAAAATTATTGTGAACCTTTATCCTGCTTTCTGAAATAGTAAAATTATATTAAATTAGATTTCATATGATAATAAGCTTCTTAAAATATAAAACAAAAGAACACAATGACCATATATAAGCTGAAATGTAAAGAACAATCTTAGGGTCTCCAGATAATTTATTTGTGTGAATCTCAGGACTTTTTTTTTTTTTTTTTGTGTGTGTATTAGCAGCTTTTCTAAGGTCTAATTGATAGGCAAAGATTGTGTTTATAGGAGCTTTTTTCTACATTTTTTAAAAAGTTTATTTGAAAATATTGTATATAGAGGAGAGACCCAGAGAGATCTTCCTTCTGCTTGTTCACATCACAGATGGCCGCATTGAGCAGGGCCAGGACAGAATGAGGCCAGGAACCAAGAAATATTTATTAGCTTGATAGAGAAAGAAGTTGATTGGCTGAGAGATAGAGAGCTTTGACACATTAATTCACTTCCTAGATAACCATACCAAACAGAGGTGGGGCAGGACTGAAGCCAAGATTGAGGAATGGAATCTAGCCCTCCTTCATTGGTGACATCACCATTGCTTCCCCAGGTTTGCATTATCTGGGAGCTAAAATCTAGACCTGGCATTGGAAATCAAACATAGACACTCTAAGGTGGCATCATAAACAATAAGCTAAATGTCTGCCCTGTCTTAATATATTTTTTCTCTGACATATTGGAAATGATATGCATGGTGTTTTCCTGGAAATTATTTTCTGTTCATTCCCATCGTAGTTTCACTGATGGTTTCTTGCCTTTTTTTCTCAATGCTTCTACATACTTCTCCTTAACATTGCCCATTCAAGAGTCAGTATTGCCCCTCTTTTAGCTTGCTGTGCAATTCCCCTTGACAGATGTGGCCTTTGTGATTTGAACCTTCTGTTTCCCTCCAGCTTGGGCATTTCTCACTGCCTGTAGATCATGGATTTGACTCTGTTGAATGCTCTGTGTGGCGTTCTAAACACTCAACAAGTCTAATGTGAAACCATATCCTTCCTTTTTCCTTCCTATCTATACACAACTGTCAGTGTTTGTTTTGTGACAGAGTTAATATGTTGACTGGAAGTGTAATGTTACAGGTGATGATAGCATTTGAAGACCTGGCTGTGTACTTTACCTGGGAGGAATGGCAGAACATGAACAATGCTCAGAAAATCCTGTACAGAGATGTGATGCTGGAGACCTACAGCAGCCTGTTCTCGTTGGGTGAGTAACACCCATCACATGCCCAGTGATAACATTTTCTTGCTATTTGACAAGCAAGGGAACACTTTATAATGTTTAATATTGGGCAGGATTAGAATTTGAGTCCATGAACAATCTGACTATCTACCATCTAACAAAAGATTCAAATTGGAACATTTGTTGCATAGCTCCTGAACCAAGCTGTAGTCCTTTAAATAACCCAAGATAGTGATTTTACAAAGTCTTACTTTGTTTCCATTAATAGGGCACTGCATTACCAAACCTGACTTAATCTTCAAGTTGGAGCAAGGAGAAGAGCCATGGATGGTGGAAGAATGCCTGAATCAGAGTCTTTCAGGTCAGTCTGCACATAACAGACAGGGAGGCCAAGGCAGAAAGTGTGCAGATGTTGACTGGTGTTCTTTCCATGAATTTTTCTCAAGCCTTACTCCTGATGACAGCTGGTTTTGTGCATCAGACACAGGCATTTAGAGATACCAGTATCTTTCTAACTTTTGTTCTTAGTGAAGATGTTTTTTGATTAAACAAAATCCAGTCATTTTCTGCTATTACTAAGGCTTTTATCTAGATTTGATACATTCCCCAAATTCTAACTTCTCCTTCTTTGCACTTCCATACCTTTTCCTTTATGCACTTATTAGTTCCTTCAGTGCTTGTTAATTAGGCAACATACAAAAACTTATTGTTTTTAAGATTAATTTTTCTGTTTTTTTTTTCTTTTGAAACAGGCAGAGTGGACAGTGAGAGAGACATAGAGAAAGGTCTTCCTTTTGCTGTTGGTTCACCCTCCAATGGCTACCATGGGCAGTATGCTGTGGCTGGCACACCGTGCTGATCTGAAGCCAGGAGCCAGGTGCTTCTCCTGGTCTCACAGGTGGGCACAGGGCCCAAGGACCTGGGCCATCCTACACTGCAGTCCTGGCCCAGAGCAGAGAGCTGGCCTGGAAGAGGGGCAACCAGGACAAAATCCAGCAACACAACCAGGACTAGAACCTGGTGTGCCAGTGCCGCAGGCAGAGGATTAGCCTATTGAGCCACCGCACCAGCCTGTTTCTTTTTTTTTTAAAGATTTATTTATTTGAAAGTCAGAGAGAGAGAAGAAGGAGAGGCAGAGAGAGAAAGAGAGGTCTTCCATCCACTGGTTCACTTCCCAATTGGCTGTCATGGCTGGAGCTATACTGATCTGAAGCTAGGAGCCAGGAGCTTCTTCCAGGTCTCCCACATGGGTACAGGGGTCCAAGGACTTGGGCCATCTTCTACTGCTTTGCCAGGCCATAGCAGAGTGCTGGATCAGAAGTGGATCAGCTAGGACTTAAATTGGTGCCCATAAGTGGTGTTGGCACTGCAGATGGTGGCTTTACCTGCTATGCCACAATGCCAGGCCCCAGAATCTTATTTCTAACTCATTGCTCAGATTGAGTTCCCACTCATGATTTTTCCCAGGCATAGAACTTGCCCAGGACTGAATCAATAAATGTGAACTCTCTCTTTCTTAGTCTCTTTCTTTTTTTTCCTCTGTGACTCTCAAATAAATAAGAAAATTATAGTCTGTTGGAAACATTTGAGGAGTGAGCCTACAGTTGGCAAACCTCTGTTTCAGTCTGTCTTTATCTCTCATTCTGTCTCTCTGATTCTCAAGTAAGTAAATAAGTAAATGCTAAAAGATGGTCATGTGGCTTGCTGTGGCACAGTGAATTAACACCCTAGCCTGAAGCAGCAGCATCCCATATGGCCACCAGTTTGGGACCCAGTTGTTCCACTTCTGATCCAGCTCTCAGCTATGGTCTGGGAAAGCAGTAGAAGATGTTCCAAGTCCTTGGACCCCTGCACCCAAGGGAGACCCAGAAGAAGCTCCTGGCTCCTGGCTTCAGATCAGCACAGTTCTGGCCGTTGTGGCCAATTGGGGAGTGAACCATTGGATCAAGACCTGACTCTCTCTTTGCCTCTCCTCTCTCTGTGTAACTCTGACTTTCAAATAAATAAATAAATAAGTCTTTAAAAATAAAAGATGGTCATGAGTAAGCCTCTGTGCTGTGGCATCAGAAATTATGAAGCTAGGAATGACATTGTGGTGCAGTGTGTTAAAGCTCCAGCCTGCAACACTAGCATTGCATATTGGTGCCAGTTCAAGTCCCAGCTAGCCCTCTTCTAATCCAGCTCTCTGCTAATGCACCTGAGAAAAGAGCAGAGGTTGGCCCAAGTCTTTGGCCCCTGTCCCATGTTGGAGACAAGAAAGACACTCCTGGCTCCTAACTTCATTTTGGCCCAGCATTGGTTGTTGTGCCCATGTGGGGAGTGAACCAGCAGATGGAAGACTTCTCTCTGTCTCTATCTCTCTCTATAATTCTAGCTTTCAAATAAATAAAGTAAATCTTTGAAAAAAAAGAAATCATAAACTAAGCATGAACTTATATAAAACATGAAAATATGTGATCCTAGACTCACCAAAAAACTAATGAGATTTTGAGACCCAAGGTCAAGTAGCCTCGTGGGTTTATGTTAAGTAGCTCAGATTTCTTTAAGGGTGGAGTTTGAAGAGTGATTTCTCTCTTATTTTTCAGTATCATTGAAAAATAAGCAAATAAAAAGATAAGAAAAGCATAGAAAATGAAGCTTTCAGTGAAAATAGGAGGCAACTGATCAAAAGCCTCCAGAAATTCAAATCATCACAGGAATTTTTCTAGAAAGAATTGAGAGGAGGTAACCAGCACTGATGATTTCAGAATGAGCTAGAAAACACTTTTCAAAGAAGATAAGCACATCCCGGTTTGCAGAAATAAATTCTTCAAACTGATTGGGAGTGTTTAACTAAAGTGGTATACTGGGAATTTTCTGTACCTGTTGTACTTTTGAGAAGCTGAAGGTGTTGGGTGTCCTTAGGAATTTTGGGAAGCTGTCATAGAGTAGAGACAAAGTAGTTTTTCATTCGAAAAATCCCACAAATGATGTTTACCTAGGAAGACTGAGCACGAGACAGTCATAGATTCAAATCATACTCCTTAAATGTTGTCCTGCTTAAAGTACAGGCACATTTCACTCTTCTCCACCTGCAAGTAAATGATCAGTAAAACTTTCTCATGTTTATGGTTGAGATATCAGAGAAGCAAAAAGCACACAATTTTTATAAAAATAAACTGGAGAAAAAGGACAGGGAAAAAAATTGTTGCTAGGTAGTGGGTGAATATTTTTATTAAACATTTGTCCATTCTTTAAAATATTTTATAGTTATTTCATCTTTGTGAAAGGCAGAGTGATAGTGAGAGAAGAGAGAGAGAAAGAGGTCCTCTATTAGCTCACTTCCCAGATGCCTGCAACACTTAGGTCTAACTAGTCTGAAGCCAAAACTCTAGAATCCCTCTAGTTTTCCCTGGTTTCTCACAGGTTCCCAGGCACATGAACCATTATCTGCTTCCTTCCAGTTTACATAGGCAGAGAGCTGTACTGAAAGCAGAGTAGCCAGGGCTCAAACTGACACTGTTTTGAGATGCAGGCATCCCACACTTCATAGCACAAATGTCATTCTACCATCCTTGACAAATTCCCATAGTAAAAAGGATCATGTTTGAACATTGGGAAACCTCATGGTATATTAATGTATTAAGGAGAAAAACCATATAATGGTTACAAATAAGTACTTCATACTGATTTTGTCAAAATCTTATGCCACTTGGATTACAAGTAACTTCATTCCCTTTACATGAGCATGCCAGGAGAAACAGTTACATGTGATTCAGTGACATGATTGCTTTTTTCTCATTTCAGTGGTCATGAAAAGGGATGACCTGATTAAGATCAACCAGGAAAGTCAGGACACAAATCTGAATCAGGATTTTATGAAAAATAACAAGACATCAGCTCTCAAGAGAGTTGAATTAAGAAAAACTCTTAGTTTAAATTCAAGCCATATTCCAACACTGATTATTCAAAAGGGAATCTATTCAGGATTGAAGCCTGAGGAATGCAATAAATGTCACACTGTGTATCCCCCCAGTGGGCCTGATCAACTACAGGCTGGAGAAAAATTTGATAACACTAAGATACCTGGAAAATCTCTGCAGTTCTGTGAGCCTCTTAGTCAGCATGACAATATTCATATCATGAAGCAGCCATTTGGACCCACTGGACAAGCAAAAGTCTTCACAAGAAAGATGTTCTGTAAATCTGAGAGGGTTCATATGGCAGAAAACTGTAATAAATCAACTGTCACTTTTGGAAAAGCAACTCAAATAGAAAAAGCTATCCATGAGAATTCTAGCCTCAGTGTGCATCAACAAACTCACACAAGAAAGATTGATAAGTACATTATGTATGTTGAACCTGTCATTCACCAGTCACATCTTGCAATAAACCAGAGACTAAACACAAGGGAAAAACTTTACAAAAGTAAACCTTGTGGAAAATTACTCAGTTTTAATTCACCTTCTGAATGTAATGACTGTGGAAAAGCCTTTGGACAAAAGTCAGTCCTCAGAAAACATCAACAAATTGACACAGGGGAGAAACCTCATGAATGTAGTGACTGTGGAAAAGCCTTTACACAAAAGTCATACCTCATAAACCATGAGCAAATTCACACAGGGGAGAAACCTCATAAATGTAATGAGTGTGGGAAAGCCTTTGGACGAAAGTCAGACCTCATCATACACCAGAGAATTCACACAGGGGAGAAACCTCATAGATGTAATGAGTGTGGGAAAGCCTTTGGACGAAAGTCACACCTCATCATACACCAGCGAATTCACACAGGGGAGAAACCTCATAGATGTAATGACTGTGGAAAAGCCTTTGGACACAAGTCACACCTCGTCATACACCAGCAAATTCACACAGGGGAGAAACCTCATAAATGTAATGACTGTGGAAAAGCCTTTGGACGAAAGTCAAACCTCAGCATACACCAGCGAATTCACACAGGGGAGAAACCTCATAAATGTAATGACTGTGGAAAAGCCTTTGGAAGAAAGTCACACCTCATCATACACCAGAGAATTCACACAGGGGAGAAACCTCATAGATGTAATGACTGTGGAAAAGCCTTTGGACAAAAGTCATGCCTCATCATACACCAGCGAATTCACACAGGGGAGAAACCTCATGATTGTAATGACTGTGGAAAAGCCTTTGGATAAAAGACAAACCTCATATCACAGCAGAGAATTCACACAGGGTAGAAAACTCATGATTGTAATAACTGTGGAAAGCATTTAGCCATAAGTCAACCTTCATCATGCATCAGAGAATTCACACAGTGCAGAAACCTTATGAATGTAATGACTGGAAAAGCCTTTGAACAAAAGTCAAACCTCATAATGTACCATAGAATGAACACAGTGTTTAAACTTCATGAGTGTAATGACTGTGGAAAAACTTGATTTTAGGTTCCAACTCGAAATGCATCAGAAGATTCACACCTTTATAAATCATATGTTATAAACCGTAGCTCATATCACACCAGAGAATTCACACTGGGGAGAAACTTCATGAATGCAATGACTGTAGAAAAGCCCTTGGCAATAAGTCACATCCAAGAATGCATCAAAAAATTCACATGAAGAGAAACCTTTTGGACATAATGACTTAGAAAGCTTTTTCCCATAATTCAGCCCTCATTGCACATCATCTAATTCATATGGGGGAAAACACTTTGGATATAATGCATATGGAAAAGCCTTTATCCATAAGTAACACCTCATAAAACATCAGAATTCACATGGGGGAGAAACCTTATGAATGGAATGAGTGTTGAAAACTCTGCCAAAATCACACAATATAACAGAATTTATTACATGGTGGAAATCTTGTAATAAATGTGGGAAAGCCTTTTGTCAGAAGGAATACCTCATAACACATGTAGATCAAGCAAGGGAGAGAACTTAAGAATATAATGAATGTGAAGGACTTTTTCCAAAATCAATATAACCATGTGACAGAGCCTTTTGCTGGAAATTACATCCCATACAATAGGCACTCCCATAAGGAAGAAAGGTCGGGACCAGTGCTGTGGCACAGTAGGTTAAAGTCCTGGCCTGAAATGCCGGTATACCATATGGGCACTGGTTCTAGTCCCAGTTGCTCCTTTTCTGATCCAGCTCTCTGCTATGGCCTGGGAAAGCAGAAGATGGCCCTGCACCCATGTGGGAGACCCAGAAGAAACTCCTGACTCCTGGCTTTGGATCACTGTAGCTCCAGCCATTGCATCCATCTGGGGAGAGAACTAGCGGATGGAAGACCTCTTTCTGCTTCTCTGTAACTCTTTCAAATAAATAAAGTAAATTGTTAAAAAAAATGAAGAAGTTCAGAAATATTATTAGTGTGACAAAAAGCCATTTGTCAGAAATTGCATTATACATCAGAGAATTCACACAAGGGATTTCTTAGTGTAATGAATGTGGAAGTATATTTTCATGGAAATCAGGCTTGCATAAATATGCAACTCAAAAAAGGTGATATCCTTCAAGTGCAATAGACCTCAAAAAACCATAACCAGAAATTAAACATCAGGCCGGTGCCATGGAGCAGTAGGTTAATCCTCCACCTGCTATGCTGGCATCCCATATGGGTGCCAGTTCTAGTCCCAGCTGCTCCTCTTCAATTCTGCTCTCTACTATGGCCTGGGAAAGTAGTAAAAGACAGCCCAAGTGCTTCAGCCTCTGCACCAACATGGAAGACCAGGAAGAAGCACCTGGCACTTGGCTTCAGATCAGTGCAGCTCTGGCCATTGTGGCCATTTAAAGAGTGAACCAACAGAAGGAAGACCTTTATCTCTGTCTCTCTCACTGTTTATAACTCTACCTGTCAAATAAATAAAAATCTCAAAAAACAAGCCATTAAACATCAACTAACACCAGAGAATTCATAAAGTAAAATGTCAATTTAATGAATGTGAAAAAATTCTTCTGCCATTAATCAATTCACATGAAGAGACTCAGAAATGAGAAAACACACATGCATAGAAAAGTCATGTACCATAGGTCACCTCTCAATGGTTACCTGACAACTCACAGAAAGAAAAAATCCTACGACTGTATTATCATGGGAAATACCTTTATTATTAGGCAAACTTCCACAAAAGATAGCAAGATTACAGAGAGAAGTCTCTGAAATATAATTTGTTTGGAAGAATTCATTGGTGGAATCACACCTTAATGAGTATTGGGCAGTTTTCATGATGAATTGTGACAGAGTGGTTAACCATTCTTCAGAAATTTTTCTCTTATTCAAACTGAACTTTTGGTTTCTCATTATTGTGAGTGGGATCAAGTATATGAACTGAACTGTGCTCTCTTGTGTAAATTTTGTTAATAAATGTTTAAAAGTTGAGTAACAGTTATTTAAACAGTTATTTGGAATATCATCTTCATCAATTACAAAGTTATTTGTTTTTTTTTTTTAAAAAGGCTTAAAATGTGTTTTAATAAGTTGATGCTGCATTTCTGCTCCATTTCTCAGAAAAACTCCAAATTTAAGATATCAGGGACAAATCAAACATGACACATCAATAGAAAATGCACAGCATAACTACCTAAGATAGGCAATGCTAAGAGCTACTGTCAGACCTTCAGCATACAGCAACCCTGTTTCCAAGATTGTACTAAGCCTATCACGAAAAGCTGTGAACAGCAACATCAGACACAAAAGGGCCATTCTTGGGTTGTCCTTACCCAAGAGAAAGATGGAGGCAAGTTAACACAAAATTTTTTAAAGATATACTAAAATGAAAATCTCTAAGAGAAAATGTCTTCCTTAGGACATGACAGGGTAATATATGGGATAGAACAGAACCGTATGTAAGCTGTCTGTGACCTCTGTGGACATTTGCCTGAATTCTCACCTGGGAGTGGAACAATGGGGCTAAGGTCATTGGGGGATGTTTGGTTTTGGTGGTATATGTGGCAGTGTCTCTGGGGCTGGGGGAAGGGAAGAGTGGTGTGGAGATGAGAAAGCAAATAAAACAGAATGGACAAAAACCGGAATGATCAAGATTAACGGGGTTCTAACTGGATCCATTTTGCCACAGTTCCCCCAGGCCCTCAACAATTAAACATTTGAGACTTCAGGAATGCACCACACAAAATCAAACAAAATACCACACAAAATTCATTTGTTAAATATCACCCCTCCCTTGCCCTCTGCCTCCAGCATACTCCCTCAAGTAGTACAGGCAGGAAAGACCTAACTATTGGGAGGAATCCCTAACACTTTTCCAGGGTAGAATTCTGGCTAGTCCAAAAAGGGTCCTTTTTCTTAAAGGGTTTTGAGAAACTAGACACTGCAACTTTATTAGTATCGGCGACGTTTGTTTGGAGCAAATTCAGCTCCAGGAGCTGCACGGTTGAATGCAGGAGGAGTTCCACCAATTGCCCCAATTCCTTCCATTGTAGCAGCTTGGCCAAAACGTTCAGTCGTTGGTGGGGTCAATCCCAAGGTTCCATCCGGCATCATAGTGGCAGGTCCTGGAGGTGCTGGGGTACCAGCTGGCACAGGAGCGGGGGGCATGGCACCTCTGTTGTTTATGCCCATAGCACCTCCCATAGCCATCTGGCCCATCCGTATCTCCTGTTCTCTCGCATCAGGGAAGGTTCCCTTGAATCCTTCCTGCTGTCGCCGCATCATTTCTTCCTGCTGCCGTCGCATCTCTTCCTCACGGCGTCTGCGCTCCTCTTCCTGCCTGAGCTCCAGTTGCTTCCGTTTTTGCACTTCTTGGTTGTGCAACTCTTCCATTCTCCGAAGTTCTTCTTGGTGCCTCATCAAATCCTGCCTCATCAGCATGACCTGGTGCTCATGGCGAGCAGCCTCCATCTCCATCTCCAACTTCTCGCGAGCCTCCTTGATGTTACGGTCTACTTGGTCTTGCTGCTGCTTCTCCATCTCAATGAGTGCCTTCCAGCGCATGGCATATTCATACTCAAAAGAGCCAGGCTGTGCAAATCTGGGTGGCTGCTCTCTCTCTTTGTGAAATTGCTGGTTCTTAATAACCAGCTTCTCTGGAAGTCCCTCTTCATCATCTAACTGGTCCATGGGTTCCACAGTCACAGGCCGAGGAAATGTAGTTAGCAGGAAGGAGCCTTCACTGCATCTGTCCAGAGCTTTCCGAGCAGCTGGCTTCCCTGAGAACTCAACAATGCCTTTTCCTGAGGGCCTTCCTCGATCATCCACAATGACCACGGCCCTCTCCACCTGGCCAAAAACAGAAAAGGCTTCTTCCAGCAGCTCATTAGACACATACTGAGGAAGGTTTCGGACTGTAAGGGATGCACTATGGCATGCAAAGCGCACACGCAGCTGCTTTCCACGTAATGGCATATTGTCCAGCTCCACTTTGGCAATCTCCGCTAAGGTTCTTGTTTCCAAGCGGATAAAGCCAAAGCCTTTATCCTTATGAATGAAGACTTCGCCTGCCTTCCCATATTTCTCAAATAGTTTCCTCATTTCCTCCTCGGTGATGTCAGGAGGAAGATTTCCCACAAAGAGACGGCTACGCTGGGTGAAGGTCTTCTCTCCTGGTTTCCTAAAATTCTTCAGGTCAATGGTCAAGCCTTCATTCTGGCTGCTGGCCTGTTGCCCATTAGCAGGTATTGGTGGTGGTGGTGGCTGCTGCTGCTGCTGCTGGTGGTGCTGCTGGTGATGATGCTGATGATGCTTCCTTGGAGTATGGTTTTGCTTCTCCAAGTTAAAAGTTTTATTGCTCTGCATTTTTGTACCTCTACCGACGGTTCTTTCCTCAGAGTAACGGAGACGCTACACGGCCTCTACCGTCCCGAGAAAAGCACAAAGTTATTTGTTTTATAGCTGCTTTGTTGGCCACCCAGGATTCTTTCCCCACATTATTGTAGTGCAAACCAGTGATGTGACCATAGGCATATCAGGTGACACATGTTCCAGCCATCATAGTGTACCCCAGCCCTGGATAGTAAGTGTTGTGTGCAACACAAGGGAATGAGTTTGTGGTGACCTATATACCCATGAGAAATTTCAACTAATCTGTGTGCACATCTGGATTAGACTCCACTACCCAAGGTCTATTTGAATATGCAAGTAGATGTCGCACACATTACCCTCATTCTTTAAAGGGACAACTTCAAATCCTATAAGTTGCAACACTCATCTGAATTTTCCTGTATTACTGAGTGCATAATGCCTTTTTCATTCATGATGCCCATTTTCTACACTTTTTCATTCTATTCCTAATTGCCTTGAGACAAGAACATGGAATGAAGTCTATCCATGTGGTACCCATTGCAACAGAGAAGCAGGAGCATAAATGTATACTTTTTTTAAAAAAGATTTATTTATTTGAAAGAGTTACACAGAAAGAGCAGAGGCAGAGAGAGAGGGAATCTTCCATGCAATGGTTCACTCCCCAATTGGCCACAATGGCCAGAACTGTGCTGATCCAAAGCCAGGAGCTTCCTCCAGATCTCCCATGTAGGTGCAGGGTTCCAAGCACTTGGGCCTTCTACTATTTCTCAGGCCATAGCAGAGAGCTAGATTGGAAGTGGCGTAGCTGGGTCTCGAACTGGCACCCATATGAGATGCCGACACTTCAGGTCAAGGCATTAACCTGCTGTGACAAAGTGCTGTCCCCTGTAGTACACTTTTGTATTAATTTAACTTATAATTTTTATGACCTATTTTTGTTGTATTATTCCCTGCTCCTGCAGGTGGCCCTAATTTTTATTGAAAAATGTGTGTTTTTATTCCTTCTGATTTACAAAGTCCTTTCTGGATTTATATAAATCTGATTTACATTCAGTTAATTCCTCACAATACTCTCAGGAGGAACACTTTTCCTAGGTTGCATGGCTATCCTATGATAACAGGGCTACAAATGCTATGATGTATCTAGCTGCAGTAGCTCTTTTATTTCCCATCTAGATAATAGCTGTGCAAGTAATCCATTCCACCTCCATTACTACACATGAGAAATAGCTCTTCATCCCTGTTTAAGTCCCCACAGCTTCTTACAAGTGTTCATCAAATTAAATCTTATAAACATATTTAATAGAAAATGAATGATGTAGCTGCTGGTAGTTTCAGTGAGGTTGAATGATTTGCTGGACTGCTGTTTTGTCTGGGTTATCTTTCATATTACTTAGAACTAATTTTTCACATTATATTGCTTGCCTGAGCACTTTTTCCTAGGCTCCCAGCTAAACAGGTGTTTGAAGAGTAGATTTACTGTTAATTCTCACTAAGGACAGAAGACCCACATTGAGAGCACAGATCCTTATGTGGTCCTTGGGACAGAGTGAATATTATACCCACTTGATTTAGTACTCAGGCACTAGTCTCCATTGAAGAGAAGAACTCAGCTGAACAGAATATAACTCCCTTCTGATTAAAAAAAAGATATTTACCATGCCAAAGCTGGGTGTGTCACCTTAGGCATACCTTTTACCCTTGAAAACTGAACAGAGCTCTCTGGCCACACCCACTACACGCCTCTAGAGATTCACTAAAAGCAGAAAGTCCATTTATCTACAATCATAATAGAATGATAAAAACTGCCAGAAAAAAAAGACGAGTATCTCCACAAATGCCAAACAAATGCAAGAATCCAAGAAGCAAGAATAATGAAAACATCATCATGCTCCCAAAAGAACATGGTATTTCAATATGAGATCATGAAGATGATGAGATAGAAGAAATGCAAGAAATAGAACTCAAAAATTTGGTCATAAGATTACATAGAAGTAATCAAAAGCAAATGCAGAAACTATTGATATCCATGAAGGACATGAAAGAAAATCCCATGAAATTGAAATTATCAGGAGGAATCAAGATGAAATGAAGAATTCAACAGAACATGAAATTGAGATATTAAAAAGAAATCAAAATGAAATGAAGAATTCAATAGAACAAATAAAAAATTCAGTGGACAGCCTTAAAAATAGAATCAGTGAGGCAGAAGACAATATCAGACTAAGTTGACAGAGTACAGGAAAGTATACAGTCAAACCAAACACAAGAACAGGAGATTAGAAATCTAAAAAAGACTGTTGGGAATCTACAGGATACTACAAAAAAAATAAAAAATAAAACCAACATTCTGGTTCTAGGAGTTCCTGCAGGCATGGAGAGAGAGAAAGGATTAGAAGGCATTTTTAGTGAAATACTAGCAGAAAACTGTCTGGGTTTGGAAAAAGAGACATTCAAGTGCAGGAAGCACACAGAACTTTGAATAGGCATGATCAGAAAACATCCTTGCCATGACACATTGTAATCAAACTGCCACAGTGAAACAAAAAGAGAAGATTCTAAAATGCGTAAGAGAAATGCTAGATTACTTTCAGAGGATCTACAATTAGACTCACAGCAGA